AGGTACTTTGTTGCATGTGGTGAAAGAGAGAATCTATAAAGTGCAGGAGTCAGTATTAGCTGGGAAGCATTCCCCATGAGGGACATGAGCTTCCTGCTAAAAATAATCATGTGCATCTTGAGATATTGGGGGATTCAGGGATTGACATAATGCAATTGTTAGGCCACACGTGGGGACATCTCAGACAACAAATGCCAGATGAAGGGAAAAGCAGGAATGCAACAGGTTGAAAGAGAATAGAGAGATTAGAGAGGAAAGGCTCAATGGAGAGCTCGAGTTAGTGTAGAAGCAGAATTGCGAGAAAGAGTGGAGCCAGGAAAAGGTCAAGAGAGTGAATAACTCCAGATAGCAAGAAGCACAGAAAGATCACATCTTTAACCATACATACACACAAACAAACACACAAAACATGCCTACCTTACTCAAGGCTGGAGGCCAAACTAAAAAAGTGTATGTATAGGCAGAATAAAAAGACCCCTGTATTGACCTGTAGCTTGATTCTGGTGGGATGGTCCTCTTCTCCACCTCCATTCATCCAAACAGTTTCCTTTATTCTTCACAGCTTCTTTGATGTTGGCAATTTGTTGGCAATTTCAATCTGAGTAATTTGTCAGTTTCGGCCAGATTGTTCTGGTTCCTCTGATCATGGGTCCCAGGTGCTTACATCCATAGTTCAAAGTTACTGTTCTGCACATCCTCTCTCTGAGAACTTGAGACAGCTGTTTCAGAGTCCAAGTAAAGTGTGCATCAAGAGCTGTTCGCTTCATCTTTTACCTTTTGAAGTATTCTCTTTTTTATCCCCTTCTGGTCAAATTGTTGTTTCTCTCTGTCTGCAGGATTCCCAGGACATGCACTCATTCTTTGTCATATACACATTCCTTCATAGAATTAACAGACTGAAAAAACAGAGAGGGCTCCTATATCTTTTATGGTTGAGTAGAAATGTGAATGTCAGCAGCTACAAGTTATTTTATCATGGTAACAAGGTATCAAACAACATCTGCTGAGATTCCGTCTTCCACTCAATCATGGAAAGTACAGAAACCTACTCATTTTCACTCTACTAAACCTATCCCTTACATATATCTAAGGAAGTCATGCTACCCCTCTATATAGATCTAGGGAAGTCATGCTACCCTTCTATTCTGCTTTGGTTAGACCACACCTGGAATATTGTGTCCAATTCTGGGCACCACAATTCAAGAGAGATATTGACAAGCTGGAATGTGTCCAGAGGAGGGCGACTAAAATGATCAAGGGTCTGGAGAACAAGCCCTATGAGGAGCGGACTTAAGGAGCTGGGCATGTTTAGCCTGAAGAAGAGAAGGCTGAGAGGAGATATGATAGCCATGTATAAATATGTGAGAGGAAGCCACAGGGAGGAGGGAGCAAGCTTGTTTTCTGCTTCCTTGGAGACTAGGACATGAACAATGGCTTCAAACTACAAGAAAGGAGATTCCATCTGAACATGAGGAAGAACTTCCTGACTGTGAGAGCCGTTCAGCAGTGGAACTCTCTGCCCCGGAGTGTGATGGAGGCTCCTTCTTTGGCAGCTTTTAAACAGAGGCTGGATGACCATCTGTCAGGGGTGATTTGAATGCAATATTCCTGCTTCTTGGCAGGGGGTTGGACTGGATGGCCCATGAGGTCTCTTCCAATTCTTTGATTCTATGATTCTATATATGTACACACACCTCCACAGGGCAAAAAAATATTTCATTGGTGATAACTGGGAATATTTCCCTGTTGTGGGCAACAATCTTGGATGCTTCATTTGAAGGGTCAGTCTTTCCCATTGTGCATAGAATGTTGTTTGCTGTGCTGACTAGGTTCATATATGTACCTACAGTACATACAATTATACATTTTAATTTGTTTTGTGTTCCTTGTGGAGTGACATTGTTACTAGGCTTGGGCCCAAACTGTTTTGAATGAAAATGATTTGTAGTATTTGGTGGTCTGTTTTATATAATCTCCAAAAACAGAGCAGGGAGGAGGGAGCCACAAAATTTGGCAAAATTGATTAAGGGAGCCAGATTTTATCAGTTCCTGGAGAGGAAGGAGTTAAGCCAGCAATATACCTGAGGCAGGGTTCCCTCCCTGACAGCATCAGTTTCCTAGGCTCCTTCTCCAGAGAGGGCCCTGCTGGGAACTCGCTTTCCCAGCAGCACTTGCATAGGCTGGGCATTGAAATATCTCATGAGTTCCTCTTGGAGCATGATAGGAGTTGAAGTTTTTTCCTGTCTCTGTTTCTCAGCCAATAAAAAGCCTGGTTGTGTCTATGCTCTGATTGGCTGAGAATGGACACAACTAGTGACTACAATTCCCAGAATGCTCTCTTGTGGTTTGTCTAATCTTTTAAAAAATGTTATGGTTAAAACTTAAAATAATTCTGAAAAATCAGTAGATTAGTGAATTGTTTTGAAACTTGGCAGGCCTGCAGTTGTAAATGGGATCTGAAACTGAGAAAGAGTTTGTGCAGATAGGCCTTAAAATGACTGAGGATTGAACCTTTAAAATTTCCCATTGTCACCAATGGGCCAAATGTTTGCCAAATGAAAATAGCAACACGCCTCCCCATTTGAGTAACTTCTAGGTAAACGGAATGAGGGGTTAGCCAACAATGAATCCTGAAACAGCATGACTTGACCGAATTGCACACCTCTGATAGTTACCTTTGTTGTCGAGCATATACACAGTAGTTTTCAGTGATGATGTTGGAATATAGAGAACGAAGCTGTTGATAGTTTTCCAAACTTATCTGATCAAACCACAATTATGCTGTCATTTGACTGCAAAATGTTAGTTAGGGGCTACACTGGTTCAACTGTTTGTCCTAGTTGTGATCAGTATTTCAACTACACATAACAGAGACTGTCATATGCTGTTGCAATACTATGTCAAGTTCTGGCAGCCAAAATCAGCCCCCAGACTGATCCTGGAAAAGTCAGTGGAGACCTGGAGCATATTTGGTATGTTATACTTCATCAAATTACCACATTCATGGGAATGTGCTGTTGGATTCTGCTTCATCTGCAGCCATTAACCAGCCTGCAAGAACAGCCTTGAGATTACAAAGGCATGAATGACAGATGAATACATGCATTCTGATGTTGTCTCCTTAGTCTTTGCTTTTCAGTTGCTTCAAGATATGTCATGCCAAATCAGAGCCAGGATCCATTTTAAAAACTATAAAGCAAAGCTTATTTCACACTATGATATTGCCTTATAACTAGCATACTGTGTTTTCAGTACTGGATGGAAACAAAATGGAAAATGTGCTTGGCTTTGATTTTGTATGACTTTTGTTTTCCTTTTTTAATGGAGATCAATGGGGAAGTGCTGTGCTCTACGTGCTTTCATATTCTTTAAATTCATCTTTCCACTCCAAAAACTGCGTTAAACGTGTAAGAGGGTGGCAGGGAATATTTAGAGGAAAATATAAATGTTAGAATGTTTCCAAAGTAAACAATCCGATTAACATTTCCTAATGATTCATGACACATAGATATGCCTAGGGCCGTGGTTCTCAACCTTCCTAATGCCACAACCCCTTAATACAGTTCCTCATGTTGTGGTGATCCCCAACCATAAAATTATTTTTGCTGCTATTTCATATGGACAATGTATTTTTATTCACTGGACCAAATTTGGCACAAATCCCCGATACACCCAAATTTGAATATTGGTGGGGTTGGGGGACAGGATTGAGTCTGTTATTTGGGAATTGTAGTTGCTGGAATTTATAGGGTTATGTTAAATGTCCTTTGACCAGTAGCTGGCCACTTGAAGTGCTGTAAGAAGGTCCTCCATTGTGCATTGGGCTCAGCTTGCATTGCATCCTGTTAGAACTTCCATGACCAACAGAAAATACTGGAAGGGTTTGGTGGGCATTGGCCTTGAGTTTTGGAGTTGTAGTTCACCTATATCCAGAGAGCAGTGTGGACTCAAACAATGATGGATCTGGACCAAAGTTGACATGAATCCTCAATATGCCCAAATGTAACTGAACACTGGTGGCGTTTGCAGAAAATAGACCTTGACATTTGGGAGTTGTAGTTGCTGGAATATATAGTTCGCTTACAATCAAAGAACATTCTGAACCCCACTAACGATAGAATTGGGCCAAACTTCCCATACAGAACCCCCATGAGCAACAGAAAATACTGTGTTTTCTGCAGGTCTTTGGTGACCCCTCTGACACCCCCTCGTGATCCCCCCAGAGATCCCGACCCCCAAATTGAGAAACACTGGCCTAGAGTGACCTCCATGCAGTCATTACTCCCCAACAATTGTGTTGCTGAAATATTATTGTTATATATATATACATAGAGTGCAATTAAGTCTTATCAAGCCTTGTTGTTTGGTTTGGTATTGTGATATGGCCTAAGGATTAATCAATAAAATTACTACTACTACTACTACTATTGTTATAACAGGAAGCCTCCACTTTCCAGCCTTCTTATATTTCTTATGATATATTTATTAGTACACCCTTTTCAGCTTTGTTGTGGTTGGCAGAAGCTGGAGCTAACAGCAGGAGCTCACCCTGCTCCCCAGTTTTAAACCGGTAACCTTTCAGTCAGCAAGTTCAACAACTCAGCAGTTTAACTCACTGTGCCACCGGAGGCTCGATATATACACTTTGGATAGCATAGGGAATGGTTAATCCTCCTGTTGTAGTTGTTTTGCTGTCTGTGCCTCTGTTCAGAAGATTTCACCACACCTTTTGTCTCTGTGAGATTTTGAAAAATGTGGCTTGTTGTGGATTGGTGATAACGCTTCAGAGATACCTTTTCCCCATGATAACTCTTTTAGAAGTGAATTTCCCTTCCTAGGGATAGGTTTCTCTCACTTCCTGTGTTCTCATCCCTGTTCTTAACTATGAGTCATTTTAAAATCAGATGTTTGTAAGACAGGGACTGCCTGTATTGTAACTGAGTTTGACATAATGTGCCTGCCTATTTTTTCTCTCTCCCTCCCTCCCTCTCATGCTGCAGGTGTTATTTTCTCTCTGCATTGCTTTTTGGGGAATACGGATTATGAAGCAACTCACCGCAACTGCTGCAAAACATCACTGAAAAGAAGCCTGTCAGAATTGTTGCTTTAATTACAGATAAAACATATTCCGCAGAAAAGGACATGACAGGCCCTTTCTTTCTTGGTTCCAGATCATCCTCCTCAGTTTTAATTTGTGAATCATTGATTAAAATTAACATTAGAATGATTTTATTTTTGTATATTCAGGAATTTCCACAACTGTATACTCTAAAATACATGTTTTGCAACAGTTTGATTCGTGTGGAAGAAACTGTTTATGTTCATCTTTGTAATGAAACAAACGAACAGCTTGACTAGAGCTATTTGATTCTCCTTTGCAGATATAGATATGGTGACAGCATTCTACCCATCTGTTATGGCGGCATTCCATTTACTTGAGCTACTCCTATAGATGACTAAGGAAGGATTTCAAGCCCAATCACTTTTAAATGTGCAAATGTGGAGTGCTGCCATACTGCACAATTATACCATCTTTATTCCACTCTAGCTGCTATCTCTCCATTCTGTATGATCCTAGGTTTTATAATCTCATGGGGACTGAGAATTATTTAGTGTAAAGCATCCTATAGATTCTTAGTACTTGTAGTCTGATATGGGTTTATAATTCACTAGTGTACATACTTGATCTGAAGCTTAAGAAATCTCTGATGCAGAATTTCAAGTATCTCACAGAACTACAAATCTCAAGATTCTACAGAAAGGCATCGAGACAAGCAATAGAAAACTAATATAATCATGAAGTGTAGATACCCCTGTATATTAGTGCAAGAAGAAAGGAAAGAGGAAGATCAAAAACACTTCATGGAATGGTAAGAAGAATGGAAAAAGCAGGATCGAACAAGCACATGGCCAGAACATGTTCTGGAACATGTTCTGGCCATGTTCCAGAACATGGAACATCGCCATACAGCTTGGAAACTCACAGAAACCAAGAAAGAGAGTGTTGGCACACTTATGTCCTGGTTGCAGCCTTCAGATAAAGAACTGTTGGTCACTGCTGAACTGAATGGTGGAATAGAAAAGTTTTTGGTCTGATCCAGCAGGACTCTTCTGAAATCCTTCAGAAGACTGCTAAAATGGAAGCAGTGGAGCACAGAAGTAGAGGAGAAAGGACACTAAAGTAGGGGATGTGAGAGCGAGACTAGATGATGAAGACATCGAAATAGCTGAAGATTTCCCATACTCTTTCAGAGTTATCAATCTTAATGGAAACCACTGTCAAGAAATATTAAGACTGGGAAGGACATCTATGAAGGCACTAGAAAAGATCCTGACACCTAAGGATATCATTTGCATTGTCCATGCAATCATATTTCCAATATCTGTGTATGGTTGTGAAAAATGGAAAGTGAAGAAAACAGATAGAAATCAACTCATTTGAGATGTGGTTCAGGAGCAGAGTTCTGCAGATTCCATGGACTGCTAAAAATGAAAAATACGTCCTAAACAAATCAGGCTCAAACTCTCACTAGAAGCCAAGATGATTTAAGTGAGGATATACCATGAGAGGATTATAGAAAATATGATAATATTATAATGTTTGGTAAAATGAAGGGCAATAAGGAAAAATGAAACCTGTGTTTCAGATGGATAGATTAAATCAGAGAAGCAATGCCCAGAGTATGCCAGTCCTGAGCAGGACTGTTGAGGATAGGGTGACTTAGAAGGCTCCCATTCATATGGTCACCATAGGTTGAAGTCAGTTTGATGGCGATTAATGACAACAAGAAAGTGTTGGTTGAGAAAGAAGAAAAGCATAAAAAGGAATAATATGCTTTGAGTGAAGGGCAGAGAACCAACAAAAGAAAACAAAGCATAGGGAGCATAAATCCTGTAAAAGGAAATACTCAGGAAGTCATAAGGTACATAAATAAGAGGGTGGGCATAAATACATTCCAAAAAAATATGATGTTGGAATCCATTATGCTGGATCATTAAGAGACAGTTCCCATTGTCCCTCAATGTACTGACTGTATAAAAATGAATTAATTGTGACTGTAGAATTATTAAATATTGCATGACAAAAGTAACTCAAGATGCAGTCCTATATACTCTTACCAGAAAGTAAGGCAATGTTCTGTGACATTTTGAATGTGATTGGCACTTTTCTTGACTCATGAAGGATCCCACTATTGACTGAAAACTCTGATTTTGCAGTATTTAATTTTTAGCTAAGAATAAATTAGGAAAGAAAATACCTGCCAACAATGCTTTCCAAGACCATTGTGTCATACACAGGTTTTGATATATCAGTGTGATTTTTCTGTTTATCTACACTGTTTAAAATTGATTATCATCCATGGCAAAAAAAGGAAAGGGAAAGAGAATGGTTAGCAGCACAATATTTTTCAGAGGTGGCATGATTTCTGGCCCATCTATAATTATATAATTATAATATATCTATATCCGTTCTCCATCATGGTTGCTGAAGTGTCTCTTTTTCACAAGTCTGAAATTTAGCCAGTGCTATGGAGATGGACAAACAGAGTTACTTGTTTGACATGATAAATACCATGAGATGTATTAAAAGAAACAGTTCCTTGAAAAGTCCCTAATTTGGGATGACTCTTCTCAGAATCCTCCAGCCAGCATGAACAATGGCTGGGGAGTCTAAGGACCTTATTGCATGAAGGCACTATTCCACTACAGTAACACTGGCAGCAGATACATACCTGTCTGAGTACCTTCAATATTGCACATCTTTTCAGTTGAACATAATTCACCAATCTGAGGTCCCACATCAGACTTCCACATACCTTCATAATCTCACCTTCCCCCAGATTACTTGCTTGTTTTTTTTTTACTTTTAGTGCAACAGTGCAATTTCAGCATTTAAAACAAAAGCAAGAAAACATAAATATAAACTATAAAATAAATGGAAAACTGTCATCTTCTGAATAGTGAGAGAGGGGGAGAGGGGAATAAGAGAATCCCTTGACATCACTTACTTTTGGCGTGCTGGCACAGAAGCAGAAGGAACTCATCACACTAAGGTTGGCAATGAGATTGACATAGAATTGGGAGGTATTGATGGATTTTACCCACCAATAGCTAAGGATTGGAAGGACATAGAGATGAGGCAGACTGGCAGCAGGATACATACAGCACCATCACTTTTGGTGCCATTTCGACTACCTCATGCAATAAAGTTCTAAGAGTTGTAGTTCACAAAACAATCCCCCAACACTCAGCTCGGGGTTGCCTTCATGGATTCTTTACAAAACCATTTTTACAGGTTTTCCATATTCGTACAGGGCATATGGGGGAGATAGGAAGTGGCATTATGGAATAAATCTGCACAGTATTCACTTTTTGCAGAGCTATGAAAGCAGAAACTGCTGTGCTATGCAGCAATCCACAAGCTACAGAATACACTTTGCATCCCAGCAGTACACTGGTACATATTGTGCCTTCTTCACAGGAAGTGCCAGAGAAACATGTCACAAGCTGACTGCATCACATTTGTTTGGCACTTTAGCTATTTTGGGGAGCGTGAATGAGAAAGTGCCTGAAGTCTTGAGGGTTCACCATTCCTACAGGAAGCATACAATTCAGTACAAAAGTGGAAAAGCAAATGCTAAAGTAAGACGTTTCTTTGATATTACCAATGGAAAGCTTGGCTCTGGGTTCTGTCGCCTGCACTCAGCAGGAAAGTGGGGAAACAGACTACAAACCGATGACAGGCCTTGTGCAGTTAATTTATGATTTGGAACCATACTGAGAAGTGATAGATAATTAGGCTGTTGTCTCACCCATCCCCAGCCTACAGGAAGCTCCCTGGCTGACTTCAAGATTACTCATTTTATCTTCCTATGAATTCTAATAAATAGGCCTCTGTTTTATCTTCACCTGCAGACTGATCTCTATTTTGAGATACTGACTTAGAAAGAGGAAAGCCTCAATCCTTTGTCTTCATTGCCTTCAAGTCATTGTAGACACTATCATATTTCAAGGAAAACTGTGTGCTTGTTTCTTTCCAAGCACTGCAAGTGGAACAACCCCCTTGGGGGCTCAAGTGAGAATTTGGCTTTGTGAATTATCACTTCTTTCTTACTTCATTAGTTCCAGTGAGTGCGGATGTCATCAGAACTTAGCCAGAGATAACTATTGGAGTGGGGTGAATAAATAGATGTATTTGTCATCAGGTAAGCAAGGACATAGATCACTATAATAAGATATGAAGTTAATTAATAGGTTGAGAGTGCACATCTATGCATATCAAAACTTAAGTTTCATTTGTTTGAGCAGATATGTATAGGATTACAAAATGAGATTCATCACTGGACTGAAGTTTTCTTTTAGATAAAGAGAAATATGCATTGCCTTAAAGTCTTAAAATGAATATTCAATACAGGTTGGATCTCCCTTATCCAAAATGCTTGGAATCAGAAGTGTTTTGGATTTTGGAATATCTGTATTTGCATATAGCACAATGAGATGACATAGAGACTCAAATATATATTTAAAATCCTTTATACTACATATACTGAAGGTAATTTATACAATATTTTAATAGTTTTGTGCATGAAGCAAAGTTTATGTACCCGAAAGTCCTCTCCAATCCAATACAAATCAGGATCCCTGGTATACAGAGCCCTTCAGGGAAATGAAATGGGAAGGATGACAACTAGAATGCAGATTGTGGAAAACTCGACTTTTATGAGACAAGACATGGTATAGAGGGCACCTTTGTTCCTATAAGGCGGCAATATGTGCAGTGAAGAAAGATTCACAGCCACCTGAGCTGTTCAGAGTGCAAAAAAATTAACTCAGGTCCCTCCCTTCTGAACCCATTTCTAGAACATTCACTAGCTCACTGTGATGCTTCTAACAACAATTATGCAGATAAAATCTCTTGCATAAGAGCTGACATAGATGCTGTCATTGGAGCAGAGAACAACAACGTGTCCAGCAACTCTGTAAGTGGGATTACACCGGATCAGTTTCAATTGGTGAGTATGGTTGATGTAGACAAACTGCTGGGGCAAGTAAGGAAGACAACCTGATTCCTTGATCCCTGTCCATCTTGACTGGTCATCTAGGGAGGAGATGCAATTCAATCTCAAATACAACCAATTTAATGTGTCTCTCAGGGTGGGAAGCTTTCCATCCTGTTTAAAAGAAGCAGTAGTTAGACTACTACTGAAAAAGTCCCTCCTTGATCCCCTGGACCTTCATTACAGACCAATGTCTAACCTTCCTTTATTGGGTAAGGTGATTGAGAAGGCAGTTGCCCTCCAATTCCAGGCAGTCTTGGATGACACACGCTTCCTTGACCCATTTCAAACTGGCCTCAGAGCAGGATATGGAGTTGAAACTGCTATGGTCACCTGAATGGATGATCTCTGCCTCAGTATCAATGGGGAGTGTGTCCCTGTTGGTGCTTCTAGATCTCTCAGTGGCTTTCAACATCATCAACCATGGTATCCTTCTGGAACACCTGGAGGGGCTGGGAGTTGGAGGCACTGTGCTGCAGTGGTTCTGGTTGTACCTCTCAGGCAGATGGTGGTGGCTAGGGATAGGTGTTTCTCAAAAAAGGAGCTGCTATGTAGTATCCCAAAAGGTGCCATTCTATCCCCAATGCTCTTTAATATATACATGAAGCCACTGGGAGAGACCATCCGTCGGGTGTTATCAGGATGCAGATGGCACCCAAATATATTTCTCCATGACTTCAAAAACAGCTTCAACTATGGACAGTGTATCTCCTCTGGATGAATGCCTGGAGGGGATATTGGGCTGGATGAGGAAAAACAAATTGAAACTGAATCTAGACAAGTCAGAAGTGCTTGCCATCAAGAGTCCTAACCTATGGATGGAGGTTCTGGATGGGGTTACATTCCTCCTGAAAATTCTGGATGGGGTTACACTCTCTCTGAAAGGCATTCTCAAGCTGTGTCCACAGCTTGGAAGTGCTTCTGGATGTGTTTCTCCAAATGTCAGCCCAGGTAGATATGACTGTCAGGAGTGCTTATTGTCAGCTTTGGCTGATATTCCAGCTGTGCCCCTTCCTATGTTTGGAGGACCTTAAAACAGTAGTGCACGTACTGGTAACCTCAAGATTGGACTTCTGAAAGGTGCTTTACATTGGGCTATGTTTGTACCAAGTTCAAAAACTTCAATTGGTTCAAAATATGGCAGCCAAACTGGTTATAGGAACATCTAGGAGTGAGCATATTACACCTATCCTAAAGTCATTACACTGGTTGCCAATTAGTTTCCAGGCAAAGTACAAGGTGTTGGTTTTGACCGTTAAAGCCCTACATGATTTTGGTCCAGGTTACCTTCAGGATCGCCTTCTCCAGTACAATCTGACCCAAACACTTAGGTCCTCTGGGGTGGTTATTTCAGCCAGAACCCGACAGGCAACCATTACCCAAAGAACCTTTTCATCAACTGCCCTAAGACTAAGGAATGATCTGCTGGAAGAGCTCTGATAGCTAAATGAGCCGTCAGAATTTAATAACCATCTAAAGATCTATCTCTTTTGGCAGACCTACACAGACTGTTTTTAAACATGAATTTAAATTGTGTGTTCTTTGTTTAATCTCAATGTATTTCAATAATATTTTTAGAAATGCATTTTAATATGTATCTTTTATAGAAATACATTTTAATATGTGTATTTGTGGTATTTTATGCTTATGTGTTTTAATTATTCCCTAACCCACCTTGAGCCACAAGGAGAAGTGGGTAAGTAATAAAATTGTTGTTGTTGTTACATTGAACCATTGGAATGCAAAGATGGCACTCTTCCAGCCACCTCTGTGGGCAATTTTTGCTTTTGGAATATTTTGGATTTTGGAATTCTTTTTGGAATTTGTATTTTCAATCTGTATTTTGTTTTTATAAAAGTATAACAACCCTATGAGGAATGCCTGCTTAAACACAGGAGAGCTTAAAAGCTGGGTTCAATGAATACTAAGGTCTGAAAAAGATCACTCACTTTCAAGGGAACATGTGTAAAAGTGATGCCTTAAAGAGTAACATTTTTGGACAGCAGTAGCCAAAACCTTCTCAGAAGGAAGAG